TCCCAAACTGCACTTATATCGGGTCCCCAAGCTCACACCGGCTCGTGATGCACGAAGAGGCCTCGAGATTGTCCCGGTGGACCCCTTGCCGTGGCTGTCCAGGAGAAGCGGTGCAGCTGCGGCAATTGTCGCAGTGCGGCATATTGTCGCAGTGCGGCTGCGGCACTAGACGGACCCTAGTACGCTCCAATGTATCCTCACGGATGCTAGGAAGTGAAGCCCAGATAAAGTAGTTGAGAAGAATTTAAACGAAATAACGGCATTTTTTGGGGAAAATTACACTGTGAAAAAGACAGAAAAAGAGAGAGAAAACGCGCGCGCAGCGCGCGTAGGCGGCGCGCAGCGCCGCCGCAGGCGGCGGACAGCAGGTGCGCAAAATTAAACGCCATTTTCGGTTCCGCGGTTTTGGCACTAACATCAAATGTCGGGATGATTGACTGATTCGACCACATGCCCGCCATGCGCAGGCCAGCGCCGCGCTGTGATACACATAGAGACGACCCGACCTCTCTGAACTAAGCCAGATTACTGCGAACGAACGCCTAGCGCGGCGGGGAAGTCAACGGGGCAGCCGGCGGCGGCCGGCCGCGCCCGAGGCGCGAGGGCGTAGACGGGTCACAAATTGCCCGGGACGGCTGGTCACTTGGTCTCTGACGTAGGCCACGCACATGCACATTAAGCGGTGACATGACCTGATTGTTAAAAGAGCCGGTCCGCGAAATTAAATGCCATTCTCCAGGTATCCATTTTAGCACTATCTTCGAAATCCCGGCCGGTACTGTTTTAAGAATGAGTGAAAGAGGTTGTTGGTGTTGTCTCTGAACGGGCTCGGCTGCGCCTGGGTTCGGAGCTTCAACGCCGGCCATTGCGCCGAATAAAACGGCGGCAAGTAGCGGGCACAGGGGCTTCGGCGAGAGCGTCGATGCCTTGAGCTGCCCGCTAATTGCCAGGGGCTGCACCGCCGTGTACATCAAGAAGAACTTGCAGATGTGCAAACTGTGTGTATGCCGAACCGTGACGGCGGCGAGGGCGACACGGACGGAGCAGGCGACAAAGGCGAATCCGACGGCGGAGGCGGCGACGGCGACACCGACGGACGGAGGCGGCGAAAGCGAGACCGATCCGTGTCGCCTTCGCCGCCTCCGTCCGTGTCGCCGTCGCCGCTGCCTTCCTCCGTTTCGCCATCCCCGCCGCCGATCTCACCTTTGCCGCCTCAATCCATGTCGCCGTCGCCGTCGCCGCCGTCGGTCTCGCTTTCGCCGCCTCTGTCCTTGTCGCCGTCGCCGCCGCCGCCGTTGGAATCGCTCTCCCCGCCGCCGTCGGTCGTGTCGACTTCGCCGCCTCCGTCCGTGTCGCCGTCGCCGCCTCCGTCCGTGTCGCCGTCGCCGCCTCCGTCCGTGTCGCCGTCGCCGCTGCCTTCCTCCGTCTCGCCCTCCCCGCAGCAAGCTCGCTTGCCGTCGCCGTCGCCGCCACAGATCCGAGGCGGCGACGGCGACACGGACGGCGGAGCGGCGACAGCGACACGGAAGAAGGCGACGGCGAGACCGATGGCACGGCGGGGAGGGTGAGGCCGACGGCGGCAGCGGGCAGGAGTGCGGCGGCAACGGCAGCGGTGAGGGCGGCGGCGACGGCGGCGGAGAGAGCGGCGGCGACGGCGAGACCGACGGCGCGGCGGGGAGGGTGAGGCCGATCATGCTTGGCGGCAGCGGGGAGGAGTGCGGCGGCAACGGCAGCGGCGAGGGCGGCGGCGACGGCGGAGGAGAGAGCGGCGGAGAGGGCGGTGGAGAAGGCCGCGGGGAGGGTGGCGGAGAGGGCGGTGGAGGCGAGGGCGGCGGCGACGGCGGAGGAGAGCGCGGAGGCGACAGTGGCGGAGAGGGCGGCGAGGAGGGTGGCGAAATTGCATCAATTCACCTGCGGGAACCGGGACGGCGGGGAGGTGGCGGGACCGACTCGTGCCGCGGGCCGCCGGGCAGCGGCCATACCCGCTCGGCGGAGGCAGGGCTCAGAATCGGTTTCAGGCCACAAGGCTGGTGAGTTGGGCGTGACCGTCATCTATAGAACGCGCCCGCTCGCTCGCGAAGTCGGTCTGCGGAAGGTAACGACGATTCGGCTAGCTGGGCGTCTGCGGAGGCAAAGGGCGGGCTGGCAATCCGCTACGAGGCCTGTTTGTCGCGGTCGGACAGGCACCCGTCGCATCTGTGGACAGGTGTGACGACGGCAGTCACGAGTTTGCGGCGCAGCCGCGCACGGGGCCCCGCCGTCAGGTGTGCGGCGCCGTGCTCAGGAAGGAGCTGCTGCTCCAACCTGTTCACACTTTCATACAGTGGACAGTACACCGAAGCAGGACAGGCGCGAAAAACAGAATTGCGTAAACACGTGCAGACATGTGTCATTTTTTTGACAGTGTCGAACCAGCAACCCCCTCAGACCCGCAGCGGCGCCATCTGCTCGGCGACGGCGGCGGGCACCTCCTCCTGGTTGGCGAGTAGCAGCAAGTGCTCCTTTGCGGCGCGCAGCTGCGAGGGGCGCGACCCCTTGATGTGGCGCTCGAGCACCATGTTCGGGATCGCGTTGAGGCCGGCGCGGCGCAGCACGCGCACCTCGGTCCACGTCCAGAGGATGATGTGCGTGAACGGCTCCTGCAGGTCGACGCGCGCCATCCGCTCGAGCGGCACCTCGAAGAGCAGCTCGAGCGGCTCGAGGCAGCCTACTCCGGCCATCCACAACCACCAGTCAGCGGGCGGAACACTCGGGGTCAGCCTCCCCCTCGCGCCGCTCGGGGCGGCCGTAGACGACGCGCAGCGTGGTGACGAGCACCTAGTAAGCGCTCAGTCCGGTTGCATCGACCATCGAACCACTGGTCGACGCGCACGCGGCGCGGCGAGAGCGCCACGCGCTGCTCGAGCCGCATCCCGTCGCGGTACTCGATGGGGTGCTGCGCCTGCGACCAACGGCGCGCGGCTAACGGCGGGCGAGTCGCCAGGGCGTGGCCCTCGCGGCGCTCTCGCGTCGGGCGGCGCTGCGCCTGGAAGAACTCGGCGCGGCCGCCGCGCCCGCCGCGCGCCGGCGCGGCCGGCGAGCAGAGCGAGAGGAGCTCGTACGCGCGGCTCTCCTGTTCACAGGGGGGAAAGGGGGGGGGGGGGAGTGTGAAGGGACGCCGCCCGCCGCGGCGCGGGGAGCAGATCGCTCGCGGCGGCGCGCTCCTCGGCGTTGAAGGGGGCGACGAGCCGGTTCGCGTGCAGCGCGAAGGGCTGCTGCTGCCTGTTCACAGCGGGAGGCGGGCGTGGCGAGGCGCCGTCCGCAGCTCCGCCTGCAGCCCTCGCGGCGGGGAGGGGCTGCCGCAGGTGGCGCCGCACGCCAAGGAAGGGCGAGTGGATCAGCCCCTCGACCGTCTTTGTGAGCCTAGAAGCAGAATACGCCAACCTCGGGGCGCGGATGCGGTACTGTGCAGCGTATTCAGAGCACCGCGTGAAGACAGCGGAGAAGAGTACAGTGAGTACGGAGGAAAGCGGGAGATATGGGGAGATATGGGGAGATACAAGAACCCGTATTCTGCTTCTAGGGTTGTGAGCAGGTCGAGGACGCCGATCGGCGGCCGCAGCACGCAGAGCGCGCCCTGCACCAGCCCCTTCGCGAAGCCGCGCGGACCGTGCTTGAGCGCGCCGCGGTACGGCTTCGAGATGACGCCGCCGAGGCCGACGATGCCGTCGAGGAGCATCGCGACCCCCTCCGACGCGCCGTCGACGACCCCGATCGGGACCTAGCCCCGGGGCCGACCCTCGGGTGATCTCGGGTGACCTCGGGCGGGCGAGGCACCTCCCCGCGCCGCCGGCCGGCACGCCTCCGACGCGTAGACGCCGAGCGCGTGCGTGCGGATGTACGAGGGGGAGAGGGTGGCGAAGGAGAGCAGGGCGGACGCGGCGGTGGCGACGCGGTAGAGGAGGAGCGACGGCAAGTGGACCACCTTGCGCGCCAGCTCGGCGAGCGACGCGTTCAAGGCGGCGAGGTCCTAATTAAGGATTAACTAAGTACTTGATGGGTACTTACTTCGCTCGAGCGACGCGCTCAAGGCGGCGAGCTCCTCCGACCCGCCCAGCGCGAGGGCGCCGCCCAGCCGGAGCGGCTCGGCGAGCGCGCCGACGAGGGCCGCGAGGAGGCCTGGGGGAGGAGAAAAAGAAAAGCAGGCTCACAACGAAGAGAGGACCGCACGCGCCGCCGACGAGGGTGCGAGAGGAGGCCTGTGGGAGGAGAAAAGAAAGAGACAGGGTCACAGCGAAGAGAAGGCCAGAAGCGCCGCCGACGAGGGCCCGAGAGGCCTGGCACGCCGCCCGTGATGTTCAGCGACGCGAGCAGCACGAGCACCTAGTTAATTACTCATCGGGCACTTCACTAATAATAATTGACTAGGTGTTGCGCGACGCGAGCAGCACGAGCACGTGCGGCGAGGCGACCAGCACGTAGTGGGACGCTAGCCGCTCGGTGAAGTCGGACCAGTCGGAGAGGTGCCTCGGCACCGTGGCACGGCGTGAGTGAGGGACTAGCTAATCACTTCATAAATACGCTATGGTCATCGGAGTAACGCCTCCGCACCGTGCACGGCTTGAGTGAGTGACTCATCAGCTGTTTATAAGCTAAAAGAGAGAGGCGCCTCCGCATCGTGTACGACTTGAGCCGAATCGGCATCGCGTCGATGTTGCCGAAGAGGGTGAGGGCGACGGCGATGAGCTGGCCTGCGTCCAAGCCACACGAGGGCGGCTCGCACCTCGACTACTGCCGTGGCGGGACCGCAGGCAGGCGGCGGGGCTGGCCGGCGGGCGTCGAGCCGCGCGTCTGCCCGGAGGCGCGCAGGGTGACGTCAAACATGAGCGGCGAGACGGTGCACAAGTCGACGACCACCTGCCGCTCGAGCAATTAAGACGATGCGATCTCGAGCAATCTCGAGCGATCTCGAGCGATCTCGGGCGATCTCGCGCGGTCTCGAGCGATCTCGAGCGGTCTCGCGCGATCTCGGCGATCTCAAGCGGTCTAGGGCGATCTCGGGCGATCTCGGGCGATCTCGGGCGATCTCGCGCGATCTCGAGCGATCTCGAGCGATCTCGGGCGATCTCGAGCAATCTCGAGCGATCTCGAGCGGTCTCGGGCGAACACGAGCGGTCTCGAGCGATCTCGGGCGATCTCGCGCGATCTCCACCTGCCGCTCGAGCAGCGGCCGCGGCGCCGGCGCAACCAGCCGCCACTCCCACCCCTCCCGCGAGGTTGCCTCCCCCTCCGCCGGGTCGGCGAGGGCGGGCAGGCCGAGCAGCGGCGCGACGAAGCGGTGCAGCTCGAGCACGAGCGACTCCTCCACCATCAGGGAGAGCGGCGCCAGCTTGAGCTCCAGCTTCTGGAAGTAGTCCACGCCTACGCCTCGGCGCGACCTCGGCTGACCTCGGCGCGCCCTTCCACGCGCGGCCTCGGGGCGGGCCGGGAAGGGGTGCGCGCCGCGCATGCGGTTGAGGCGCAGGAAGAGCTGCACCACCGGCTCGCCCGCCTCGCGCGCCCTCGCGCGCCCCCCCTCGGCGGGCCTGCAGGCGGCGGCGGTCGGCGCGAGCACGACGGGCAGCGAGGCGTGCAGCAGCTGGTTGTCGAGCTGCAGGTGCCTGCTCCACTCCTCAGCCAGTCAGCGGGCCGCTCAACAGGAGGGGCGTGCGGCGGGCTGGCCGTCGGGCGGCGCGCGCCTCGCGCTGAGCGAGAGCTCGAGCACGGGCTGCAGCGCGTTTGCGAGGTCGCGCCGAAAGTCGCAGCATAGCCCGTACACGCACCTGAGGAAGTGTCTAGGAAGTGTCTACGAAGTGTCTGGGAAGTACACGCACAGCTACGTGTCTAGGAAGTGTCTAGGAAGTGTCTAGAAAGTGTCTGGGAAGTGCACGCACAGCTGCAGCAGCTCTGCGGGCGTCGCGTTGACGAGCGAGACGTGCAGCTTGCCGAGCTCGACGTGCAGGTCCACCTCGCCGGTGGGGGAATCACTTACTCACGACTAGTCAACTCCTGCCAGCCGGCCGAGCTCGAGTTCCAGCTTCACCTTGACCATGCCGCCGCCCCTGCCGCCGCCGCCGCCGCCGCGCGCAGCCTCGAGCAGGATGAGCGGCAGCGGCTCGGGCGCCGAGCGGAGCCGCTCGAGCATCGACAAGTACTTGAGCCACTCGACACGCGCGCGCCGCGCCGCCCGCCCCGCCGCCCGCGCCGCCGCGCCGCCGCCGCCGCGCGCCGCCGCCGCCGCGCGCCGCGACGCCTCCGCCGCCCCGGCGAACCCCCGCCGCACCGCCGCGCCCGCCGCGTGCAGAGCCTCGTCCGTGCGCGCCACCGCCGCGGCCAGCTTCGGCCGGCGCGGCGGCGGGCGCGCGGGCGGCGCCGACGCAGAGAGCCGCTCGCTCTCCTGCGAGTATGGCGGCGAGTAACCGAGGCTGGCCGAGACGGCCCCGAGGCTAGCCGAGATGGCCCCCAGGCTGGCCGAGATGGCCCCCAGGCTGGCCAAGATGGCCCCGAGGCTAGCCGAGACGGCCCCCAGGCTGGCCGAGATGGCCCCCAGGCTGGCCGAGATGGCCCCCAGGCTGGCCGAGATGGCCCCGAGGCTAGCCGAGACGGCCCCCAGGCTGGCCGAGATGGCCCCGAGGCTAGCCGAGACGGCCCCCAGGCTGGCCGAGGGTGGCCGAGGGTGGCCGAGAGCCGGTCGCTCTCCTGCGACCGAGCGCGGCCGCCGCGGACCCCGCCGGAGCGGCCCGAGCCCTGCCCGCCGTCGCTCTCGTCGGAGGAGAGCCAATCGGACGAGCCTGACAGAGGCACGCGCACACCGCTGCCCGGAGGGCAGAGACAGGGAGGGCCGCAACGGCACCGCGCGGGAGCAAGGCGGATGCACCCGCGTCCCACGCGTTGACAGTCGAGGAAGTGTGTAGGAAGTGTGTAGGAAGTGTGTAGGAGGTGTGTAGGAGGTGTGTAGGAAGTGTGTAGGAAGTGTCTAGGAAGTGTCTAGGAAGTGTGTAGGAAGTGTCTAGGAAGTGTCTAGGAAGTGCGTAGGAAGTGTCTACGAAGGGCCACCCGCGTCCCACGACTCGACCGTCGCCAGCAGGGGCGGGGAGCCCCCCTTTCCGCCTCTCGACCCGCCGCCGCCGCCCGCCGCCGCCAGGGCGCCGCCTCCCCCCCCTCCGGCGCGGCGGCGCGGCCCCCGGCTCGGTCGGAGTCCGCCCCCGGAGATCTCGAGCAGCTTGAGGGGGCCTGCGGTGTGAACAGGGTCTCTTCACACCTCTAGCTGGGAACAGGGGAGTCCGCCCCCGGAGATCTTTAGCAGCTTGAGCGGGCCTGCGCGAGCGGGCGAGCGCACTCCTCACTCCTCTGGCGGCATTAGCGGAGGGGGGGGGGGGGGGGGTCCTGCGATGTCCATCAGCGAGACCTCCACGTCGAAGTCCCCGCCGATCGGCCGCGCGTTGAAAGCGCGCGTGCAGGTGAGCGAACACCTACCAGCAATGAGCCAGCCACTCGCGCTATTGAGCAAGCCGCGCGTGGAAGGCGCGCGTGCAGGGGAGCGAGCACCTACCAGCAATGAGCCAGCCACTCGCGCTATTGAGTAGGCCGCGCGTGGAAGGCGCGCGTGCAGGGGAGCGCGCACCACCACTCCGAGGAGGTGGAGCAGGCGGCGGAGGGGGAGGAGGGGCCGGCGCCGCCGCCCTCGCCGCCCTCGCCGCCCTCGCCGCCCTCGCCGCCCTTGTCGCCGCCCTCGCCTCCGCCCTCGCCGCCCTCGCCGCCGCCCTCGCCTCCGCCCCCGCCCCGCACCTCGAGCCTGTGAGAGCCGTAGGGCAAGTCCCACGCAAAGACGGCTCATTAAGTAGCTAATTATTAATGAATTACCTGTGAGAGCCGTAGGGCAAGTCCCACGCAAAGACGGCTCATTAAGTAGCTAATTATTAATGAATTACCTGTGAGAGCCGTAGGGCAAGTCCCACGCAAAGACGGCTCATTAATTAGCTAATTATTAATGAAGTACCTGTGCGAGCCGTAGGGCAAGTCCCACGCAAAGACGGCCGTCTCGCCTGCTCACAGGCAGCGGCGTGGAGGCGCGCTGCGCTCGCTCCCCCTCCGCGGCGACGACCCGCCGACTCGCCAGGCGCAATCGTGTCCACTCCGACCTCTCCCCCATCCGCGCCGCCGATGCGGCGCTTCCGCTGCGGCAGCAGCCGGCGCGCCACCGCGGGCGGCGCCTTGGGGGCGGAGCGGGAGCGAGGTGAGCGAGTGGAGCGCCCGAGACGCGCCGCCACCGCGGGGGCAGGGGAGGGTGGGTTCGGGTACCGTGGGGGTAGTGGAGAGTGCCTTCGCGTACCGCGGGGGCGGGGGGCCTCGGGGCGCCCGCATCCGCTAGTGAATTAGTTGATAGCTAATGAAGTACTTAGCTAGCGGGGGCGGGGGGCCTTGGAGCGCAGCATGCGCCCCGTCGCCCCTTCAAAGTCGCCGTTGCGCAGCTGGCGCCGCACCGCCGCCGCGCGCGAGCGAGCCTCCGCGGCGACGAGGTTGGCGCGCCTAACCAGCAGTTTGTAATGAGCAGTTCCGCGAATTATTAACTAAGTGCGCCTCCGAGGCGGCGAGGCTGGCGCGCCTAATT